GTGAGGAGAGGAGAAGGCAGGTAAAAAAAGGAGGGAAGAATAACCTGTATTACAACTACTCTAGTTATATATAGAGTATATAACTTTAACTCTAGTTGGAACTACTTACAGTTCTAAATTTTTCTAATTCTAGGCCCCAATGTGCCAATTCCTAGCTACTCAGCCTCAGTGGTTTAATACAACTCACTTGCCCTCCCTGACTCTTAGATTTTCATATGGAAGATAAGGAAGTTGGCCTAGAACAGTAGTTTTTAATGCTTTCTACTCTGAAATCCCTTTTTAAAACACCAATTAACTATGGTTTCCCATGTGTGAGTTGTCCTTTAAGTACCTGTTAGTTTAAAAAACCATATATTTTACAAGTAACAGTTACATGAATTTGAAAATTCCCTTGTTCATTGAAAAAACTATTGTACATCTACATATGGCAATGAACTATTTTCTTCCCTTTTGTGAAAGCCATTTTTGGTCTACATATGAATTCAGAGGGTTTTTCCAACAACTCCATGCATTCTATACTATAGCAGAGATCATGTTCATGTACCATGGGAAATTTTTTATTATTATGGAAATACCCTCAACACAATATGTGGCACACAGCAGATAAACAATTATTATTTTTTAAAGTCTGTATATCTAAGATTCCTTCCTGCTCCCAAATTGAGTCATACCGCTTTGCACTTAGAAATAAATTAAACTTATTACTCAAACAAAAATCAAAACCACAAAACAGCATTTAGAAAATGTTTTTACTAAAATTCTATTCTTAATGAATATCTTCAAGGCCAGAAGAGAAAGCAACAAATTAATTTTTTTAAGTAATACATATCTATGTTGAATGACACACCTATAAAGAAATGGAAAAAAATTCCAAGTTTTTATAAATTTAATGCTGGTATAAATAATACACAGTTTAAAAGGTATTATCTCTGTCTTTTAAGAGCTAATACTCTGAAAGAGAATACAAAATAATTATGCCAGAGATAAGATTCCTAAACCAACAGAGAATATTAATGCATTCATTCATTCACTCATTCGATTATTCACAAATGCAAACATTTACGGAATAGCTGCTGACTATATAAAAGGCATTCATCCAGATGAGGAGGGTAAAGCAACATAACTAAGACACAAACCTCCTTGCTCAAAGAGATTCAGCCAGGGTCTCATTAAAAAGCAACAACCAAAACAAAAACTGTTACGGAATTTTGAAAAACAGGGAAAACGAGTTTGCCCTGTCACCAAAAATAGGTACCTTCTCATGGACACTGCCATCTGTTTAGATGCCTAGTGTGCATGTGATAAGCTTTAAAACTCTTGGACTACTGGGTTAACTGACTGTACCAGAAATAACTTTATATCTTTCCCCTGAAGTTATGGATTTATGCCATTAACTTAATATACCGCATTATGCCACCGGAGTGTCCTGAACCGAAAATAAATCAGTGCTTTCTAGGTATGTTTCCTTTTACAGACAGTTCTAAAAATGTATTAAATTGTATCTTTCACGAAAGAAAAGAATTTGCTCCCAGAATAGCTAGCTCCCTGTACATTAAGTAGCAAGTCACTCCTAGGTAAACCAATTTCTGATGTTAAGCACATACATGCACACGAATACACACAGAATTCACCAACTTTCAGACAGCAGAACTTTCCACCTAAAGAATATAGGAATAGAACATAAAAAAGGAAATTGTAAGAACTGCTGTAAGGAAAGAAAAACAAAGATTAACACTTGGAGAAAATAGGAGGGGTTGAAAGCATGCATTTCACAGCTCAAAGCGATAAAGCTCTAATGCTTCAGAAATTGCAAAGAAGTTGATAAAACGGCCAAAAGGTTTAGAAAGGCTTCCATCAACACCTTGGTTAGAGTGGGGTAAATGGCAAAATTATGGTAAGTGGGCAATTCAAATTAATTAGCAATACAGGAACTTGGAGAACAAAAGGAAAGTAGGGCATCTTGACTGCTGGTGCCAAAAAGAAAAATTCAATCAAGAAGCTAAAATTGACCCAAAAATATGTCAGTTTGTCAACTGATTTAAAGTGTTTATTTTCAGAAAATATGTTTTCAGCTCTGAACTCAAATAAACTTTCAGAATATTACTGAAACATGCCTATTCCTTTGCCTAACATTCGCAAATTGCATTTTGCATTTCAGTCATAGATCTACTGAAGTTTAAAATGGCTGGAAATTATTTCAAATCTAGAACCTCAAATGTTTCAGAAGAAAGAGTATAATTTGTAAATATTGGCAACAGCGTTTTCAATTACAAAAGTATGCAGATATTCCAAACACCAGAAAAAAAATGATGTGTTGACACTTAGTTGACTTAATTATTTTCACCTACATTCGAACTCAAACATTTCCCCTTCTCTCCCAATTTAAGAGATTTACCAAAGTATAAATACTACCATAGATACGTGTTTTTTCAAAAGGTCTGTCCAAATGATGAATATTTTTGACTTCCTTAAAAACTAAGTAAGCATTAGATTTCAACCTAGAAAAAAAGATTTTTAAACATCCCCTTAACCCTAATGTCAGCTGCTACCCATGACCTCTACTGAAATGTTGATGACAAAAGGTCACACGGTGCCCCATCCCCTTCTAAAGAAACAGCAGTGGAAAGGGGCACATATTCACTGCACTATCATTCTTAATCTCTATTGGAATCTACCGCATGATACCAAGTTGAATATAAATTATAATTGTACATAAATCTGCCAAAGGTTTAAATTAAAAAGAGAAGTAGAGGAGACAGATACAGGGATTTTTTTTAATGCAATTCAAAAATCTGCATCAGAATATTAAACTAATTACTACTACTAACCCTTCTCACATAAAGCTGGAGTTTCAGTATTACCAGTCTCAATGTTTGTGCATGTTTTACCCTATCAGAGGTACCAGCTTCTTTCTCTTTAATTGGGATAAAGACACTGTTAGGGAGTAACTGGGCCATAATTAAGAGTTATATTAGAGAAAGATACACTTTATTAGACTTGAATACTTCCCAGATCAAAAACTTCACCACCATTAGTAGGACATTCTGAGCATAGTAAGTCATTTCCTTTAATAATCTTGGAAGCACAAAAGTCAGCTGTTTACAGACAGTGATCTTCTCATCAATTCCTGACCACCTTCAAAGTTAATAAATATTTAATTCTAACTTAAAGAGCCACACCGAATTTCCTTACCAATTTACCAGACTACATAAAAGACATCGCCAGACACCATATTATGCAAAACGAAAGCTAATTTACATGTATTAGACTCTAGAGTGTGGAAATGGAAAAAAATTTCCATTTTTAGATGGAAGGCGTTTGTGGAACTCCTTGAGAAATAATATGTTAGAACAAGTCATTCATGTCTTGGTAAGAAATCGGAAGACCTAAGGGTAATATAAATGTATATAAAGAGTTTTATGTTTTTTCCAGGTCATTCACATGAATGGGGACTGGATAAAATCACAGCACTATATGATCAATACTATACATGCCAGGTTTTGTTTGAACTCCAATTCTCATTCTACTCATCATGCACCCCACACCCCCAAAGTGCCAGTACACAATGCACAAGGATCACTCTTTCTCTAGAGACAAAACCAACACATACGCACACAAAATCCCTTCATATCCAAAGGTAAAGGATAACCAGACAATCTCTAAGACGAGAACTTTCAAAGTATTGATCTGCCTTTCCTATCACTCAGGCTTCTTAAGTCTTGACAGCAGAGTGAAAGCTGTTTTCTACAGGTGAAAGCACTAAGTGTTCATCAAAGCCATACCAGGAACAGAAAGGCAGAAAAATACTAACGCTAAGATCTCACGCCTAAGCTTTAACACCCTTCTGGAACAATAAGACAGAGAACTAGGCCCATTAGAAATTCTACATGAAATCAGTGCCCACTAGTCATTAATCTCCTAGTGCTTGAAACTCTGGGAAAGCAACCAAGAAGTCCCTAATTTTCTTGAGATTTCTGTGCTGGCCTGAGCACCCACAAGACAATTGAGTCAATTAAGTTGGCAAAAAAAAAAAAAGTTCCGAAAAAGCAAAAATTATTTTCAATTCCACATCTCCAAAACACCTCAGGCTACAGTATTTAGTTGAAACAAATGACATCCACGACAAAAACCGACTTTGCAAGCCCTTGGAACCTATGGGCCTGCAGTAGCACTCTGGAACTTCTATGCTTCCTAGGACCAAAGAATAAACAAAGATAACTCAAGGCATAAGGCGATCCAGCACCTAAGATCTCAGTTAAAAAAAAAAAAAAAAAAACAAAAGCTAGGTCCGGAAGCAGCTCGTGAAGAACAGAGAAGGGAAGTCAAAAGGCTATTTGATGTCAGCTAAAGCCAGGTCAGTACTAATCAATCTCTATTTTCCTGGACATGGGTATAAAGAGCAATGACAAGGTCATCAGTCCCCTGCTCCCTCGCTCACTTTTTTTTTTTAGCAAATGCTTATAGTGGCTTCCCGCCCGCGCACAAGACCAAACTTTTAAACTTTGAAGAAGGTGGGAAAGTCAGCCAGGCAGCCAGCCGCTGGCCTAGGAAAAGTAGGGAGAGAAGGAGGCAGAGTCAGGTTTCAAAACAAAGGCTCCACACGGAACTAAACGTCAACCCCTCCCCACTTTCCAGCCTTCACGCCAGCCAGGCTGGGCCTCGATTTCTAAGCACTGTTAAGTCAGACTGACCCAGCTCTTCAGCGCTCACTGAGGGCCGTGCCCTGCACGAGAACAAGAGCACAACCACTTGCTGGGGGTGGTGTTGGCCTCCCCCAACCCCCTTACTGGAGAAAAAACAGGCTTGAAACGCCAGTGACTTGCCCAAGGTCCCACACTAGAACCTGAATTCAGTTCCCCTCACGTCCAGGCAAGGCCAACGCAAGGCGGGCGCCGCGCTAGGGCCGCGGGAGCCGACAAGGCAACGCCCCTGCCCTGAGAGAACCTCTGGCGGGGAGAGGGGAGGGTCCCGCGCGCCCTCCCTCCCTCCGCGGCCCTTACCTTCCTTGACTCCAGGCAGCTTCGACTGGTCGATGCTGACTTCAGCCATATTGGGCCGGGGTCCCGGTTGCCCCTTTTACGCCGGCGCCGAGCGGGGCTCCGAGCGCAGCAGTAGCGCCCGACGCGGCGCAAAGTCCGGCGGGAAGCGCTCGCAGGCCGGAGAACGGAGCGGGACGGGCGGGCAGGGGCTGGTGACCAAAGCGGCGGGAGACGAACCCCGACGCACAGGGCTGACGGCCCCACTGCCCCGCCGCGGCCACCTGCTCCACGCCCCCAGCCCCAATCGATACCAAATATCCGGAGCCCGGAAATGGACCGGGGCCGTCCAGTACGGAGGGAGAGAGGAGACAGAAAGGCCGGCAGGCGGGGGAGGGGGCGCTGCAGGTCTGTAACCGCAATCGCTAGTGGCTGGCGAGCGAGGATCAGCGCCCGCTGCCGCCTCCCTGTTGTCTCCTTTGTGCTCAGCGACGCGCCTGAGGCTGGGGCCCCGCTGTGCTCCCGCCCCCGGGCCCGGCCTCCCTCCCAAGGGAGGGTCGCGTCTTTAGGTGGGGGCTCTGTATCCTAGAGGCCTCAACAAAGAGGCCATACGGATCACCCAAAACATAACCGTTCCAGTGATTGGTGTCGTCAGCATTGTGGTCTGGTTCTGGCATGGAGATTTACACAGGGTGTTTACTGCACGCCTGCCTCTGTCTCATACACTCTTTTTGCACCAGAAATTAGAGGACAGATCATAGATGGCCATAAACCCCGAATACAACCTACAAAGAGCAGCTGATAAAATTCCCTGCCAGTTGGGAGTAGAGTGTGTTCACAATCAGCTGGGAGAACTGAGTCATTCATTCATCAAAATCGCATGAATGTGTCTTACCAAGCGTGATGTTAGGTACTGGGGATGATAAAGAGGCGTCAGACTTATCTCTGTTACAGCGCTGCACACATTGGACTATAACTGTGACATTTCTATCTCTCTAAAACAGACAGCCTCTCCTGTTTCATCTCCTGGCAACAGAATGCACCCTCCTTTTGGAAATTGCCTCTTTCCCCCCTCTTCAGAGGTGAGCTTCTCTCCCAACGTGTGCCATGTGTGAACCTCAATACTGCCACATCACTCTACCCCTTTCCTCCACCGACACGGGTTCATCAAAAGGTGGCTGGGTGACCCAGACAGGTTAAACAAAATACTTTCCTGGGCTTAGTACATAAAGAGATACATATTCTATTTCCTGTGGAAAAAGAAAGATCGCCTCTAGCAGATGATGAAGCCAAACTGATGACAAGCAAAGAGAAGAGAAAGGGAGATGAAGAGGTCATGTTCTGATGTTACCACAGTAGCAAAGCAGGATATCCCCAGAGCACTGGCATTTCCGCAGCTCCTGGATTCTGGGATCTACAACCAGCAAACTCTCAACTTATCCTGTTTTGCTTAAGCTTGTAATAGTTGATTTTCTGTCACTCACAGCTCAGAGTCCCAGTATGAGAGGCCACATAGGAGAGATTTGTGGTTTTTTGTTTTTGTTTTTGAAACAGAGTCCTACTCTGGCTGGATCTCGCCTCGCTGCAACTTCTGCTTCCCTGGTTCAAGCGATTCTCTCCTGCCTCAGCCTCCCAAGGAGCTGGGACTACATGCATGTGCCACCACACCCAGCTAATTTTTGTATTTTTAGTAGAGACGGGGTTTTGCCATGTTGGCCAGGGTAGTCTCGATCTCTCGACCTCATGATCCACCTGCCTTGGCCTCCCAAAGCGTTGGGATTACAGGTATGAGCCACCGCGCCTGGCCAGGAAGGTTTTATTTGAACTTGACATTGAAAAGTAGGTGGATTTTAGGCTAGCAAATATTTAGAAGACTTTCAAAGCCAGAGGGTGGCAAAGTATAGCCCACAGGCCAATCCAGCCCACTGAATTTGAACGACTGCTTTTTATGTGTTCAAATAATTACATTTTAAATCAATATATAAATAGGACATCATATTTTCAACCTTGCTTCTTAAGCCTCAAAATCTAAATATGTTTTACAGAAAAAGTTTACCCACCCCAGGGCTAGGCAGAGATAACACTCAGTAAGTTAAATATGGGAATAAGATGGAAGTGATATTAGAAAGGTAGGTTTATGGAGATTTTTTTAGTTGTAATTTTCCTGCAATCTAGTAATTTTTTTTAACTTTCTGTGGTCATAGAGAATATTTATAATAGCAGTATTTTCTGTTTCCCTCCCCAAATCTGTTGGTTTTACTTCTCTACCAAGCCGTGCCCTTGGATGCTGACACCTACAGACCAATCACTAGGCCCCCTTGACCTGTGTCTTCCTGTTGGGATTGACCAATGGGAAGTGCTTGCAGAAAATCAAAAGAAGGGAGGAGAGAAATATCAGACTGTTTTTCTTTTTTTTAAGCCACATTTTTGGCCATAGTCCTGTCCCTCTATGACTACAAGGCCTGTCTAGAGCCTCTTTTCTATGGCTTCAGCTCTCATCGGTCTCTAATAATACGATTTCTTTCCAGTTCCCCTTCAGCCTAGAGTATAATGCTGCCCCTTGGTTCCTTTTTTTTTTTTTTTGGACAGACTCTTGCTCTGCTCCCCAGGCAAGAGGCAAGAGTACAGCAACAGGATCTTGGCCCATTGCAACTTCTGCCTCCAGGTTCAAGCGATTTTTGTGCCTCAGCCTCCCCAGTAGCTGGGATTACAGGCATACACCACCATGCCCAACTAATTTTTTGTATTTTTGGTAGATACACGGTTTTGCCATGCTGGCCAGGCTGGTCTTGAACTCCTGGCCTCAAGTGATCCACCAATATCGGCCTCCCAAAGTGCTGGGATTACAGGCATGAGCCACTATGCCCAGCCTCCCTCAGTCTCTTAACCCAGTTAGTATCTCTGTAAATAGTCTCTTCATTACATTCTTTTCAGTTAAACCATTTTTAATGCACCTTCTATTTCCCACGTAGACTCTATTACAGTAAAATATGCTAAAAGGTCACTGCTTTCTTTTCCTTAAAAATATCCACATTTCTGGCCTAGAAAAAAAATGAAAATATATATAATAGCTACATCAATTGTTTAGGGAATCAGCTGCTTTCAATAGAAAAAGTAATGAAAAAGAACCAGGAGCCCCTTTCAGGTGCTGGAGCAGATGGCCTGGAAATCCATCACAGAGTTGTGCTTTGCTTTGCCAACTCCACACATGTTCTGTATAGGTCCACAACCTGAGCAAACAATTAGAACCCAGCATTACCGGGCAGGCAACTTACAGCAAAGGACTGAAAGTAACATGGGGAATAGCCAGGATCTTTTGAGTATTTGTTGTATGGAGAACGAACATAGGGCGAATTTCTATAACGAGTCTACATTTTTGTTGTCCTGAAATGTCCATTTTGCAATGAAAAAGAAAGCACGAGACTTCTCAGAAGAGATACAGATCCCTAATTTGGGGCAGATCCCAAACAAGTAATTCAGCATCAAATCAACTTGAACACCATAGTGAGAAATGAAGATTTGATTTGTAAGGCAATATGAAGCTGTTAATTGATTCTTTTTTTTAGATGGAGAGTTACATGATACAGTTTCTACTTTTATACAGCGAATTTGGTAAAAATAAAATACATGGATTGGAGTAGGGAGGCATTGGCCATGAGAAATAAAAACTCCAGTTTGAAAACTATCAAATTCCACAAAGGCAACCCAAGTTAGAGCTACTAAAATGTAAGCTCCATGAGGGCAGGGGTTTATCTGTTTCACTCCCTCCTATCCCTGTCTCTAGAATGGTGCTTGGCATACAATAAGCACTCAATAAATATATGTTGAATAAATATATAAATGAATATAGTTATCCAATTGTATTAACAAGAATCACAAAGGTAAGTTAAAAGTAAACAATATAGGCAAATGAATAAATTACACTAGACCTTGGCAAAACAGGAAAGGGGATCCATGGAACGATACTTCTGGAAAAAATTGTCCATCTCCTTGGCACCCAGTGCTTCCCAGCTCATCAGCATAATCTACCTAAGAGAGCAGTTCCAAAAAGGAGGATGTAATTAGAATTGTTATTCAACTTCACCAGGAAGACTGTATTAATTTTCTAGGGTTGTCATAACAAAATACCACAGACTGAATGGCTTCAACAACAGAAATGTGTTTTTTCACAGTTCTGAAGGCTAGAAGTCCAAGGTCAAGGTGTCAGAGGGTTTGGTTTCTCCTGAAATCACTCTTCTTGGTTTGCAGATTAGATTAGGGCCAACCCAAATGTCTTCTTTAAAGGCCCTGTCTGCAGTGCAGTCACTCTGAAGCAACGGAGGCTAGGGCTTCAACATATGAATCATAGGGAGACATAATTCAGCCCGTAATAGAGACCATTCAGACAATAATCCAACCATGGTGTTTACCTCTGTTTACTCTAGACCTCAAGGCATTTTTGTCCGGACTCTCACACCGTCTGTAAGTTCCCCAGCCTTACTCATGCTCTCAACTTCTCCCAGTTGCTCAAGCCCCCTCACCCTGCCCTATGGAATTCATAATCACTTACAGTATTCCCCATATCTCTCTTTGTAATTATTCCCTTTCCCTTATTTTCCTACTAGAACTCAGTTGTCACCTGGGGACATTGCTCTTCCAGCAGCCCTCTAAATTAGTGGCTGTTTCTTCTTACATACCCTATGCCCCACTAGACCTGGAGGTGCCACGGCTGTTTTGTTTTTATCTTATTGCCTCTTCTAGAACTTATGTCTTTCCTATTCTTAAATATTTTCAACTTCTTTAAATTTCATATCCTCAAATTCTTTCACCTATTACACCTCCTTATGGCAATTATCTGTACACCTCTGGGTAACTGCTTATTCCTTAGAGATGAGAACTTTTTTTCTCATTGTCATCACAGAATACTTGATGTTTTCACTGTATACATAAACATTCTGAGTAATTCCTTCTGGTAACCTGGCCTCTCTTTTCTTGACTTCCATATATATATATACACATTTTTTCCCCTGAGATGGAATCTCACTGTGTCACCCAGGCTGGAGTGCAGTGGCACGGTCTTGGCTCACTGCAACCTCCGCCTCTGGGGTTCAAACAACTCTCGTGCCCCAGTCTTCTGAGTAACTGGGATTACAAGAGTGTACCACCATCCCCAGCTAATTTTTTGCATTTTTAGTAGAGATGGGGTTTCACGATGTTGGCCAGGCTGGTCTTGAACTCCTGAACTCAAGTGATCCACTCGCCTCAGCCTCCCAAAATGCTGGGATTACAGGTGTGAGCCGCCATGCCCAGCTTTGACGTCCTTATTCTGATGAGCTAATATCCCATTGTATTAGTCTGTTCTCACTCTGCTAATAAAGACATACTGAAGACCAGGTAATTTATAAAGGAAGGAGGCTAATGGATTCCATATGGCTGGGGAGGCCTCACAATCATGGCAGAAGGCGAATGAGGAGAAAAGTAACATCTTAACGTGGCAGCAAGCAAAAGAGCTTGTCTAGGGGAAAGTCCCCTTTATAAAACCATCAGATCTCATGACACTTATTCACTATCAGTGAGAACAGCAGGGGAAAGACCCACCCCATGATTCAATTATCTCCCACCAGGTTTCTCCCACCCCACTTGGGAATTCTGGGAACT